GACCCATCGTTCCACCTTCATTGCGCCGTACAGTTTTCGATAGCCTACACAACCTTTCCCATCCAGGTATCCGGGCAACGGACAAACTAGTGTCAGCTAGATTTGTCTGGCCTAGTATCAATCGAGACGTGCGTATCTGGGCACGTGCCTGTGTGCCGTGTCAACGAGCTAAGGTACACAAACACAACATCACCCGATTGGGTTCCTTCTCCACACCCGATGCTCGCTTTAGCCACGTTCATCTAGACATAGTGGGTCCTCTACCACCATCAAATGGCCACTGTTATTTGTTGACATGTGTCGACCGGTTCACTCGTTGGCCAGAAGCTATTCCCATCCCCGATACGACTGCGGAAACCATTTGCCGAGTGTTCATGGAACGCTGGGTAGCTCAATTCGGATGTCCATCTACGGTGACTACAGACCGTGGACAGCAGTTTGAATCAACCCACTTCCGCAGAGTTGGTGTTTGGCACCACCCCCCGTCTACCGGGTGAAATTATCTCACCTGAAAGTGGTGAACCAGGTGCTACGGATGTACAGTGTTATGCTCAGAACCTCAAGCGCCTTATGCAACGCCTGCAACCAACTCCCACACGCACACAAAACAAGAGAGTGCAAGTAGACGCTAGACTCGATGGCTGTACACACGTTTTTGTGCGTTGCGACGCCGTTCGTAGACCCTTACAACCTCTTACGATAGACCATTCAAAGTCGTTAGTAGAAAAGAAAAATTTTTGTTATTAATCGATTTTGCCGGCAAGACACCGTAAGTGTAGACAGACTTAAAGCGGCCTACATTGAAGACTCGGTACCCCTCACGCTTACGCAACCAGCAACTACGCCCGCACTCACACCCCAGCCAAGTCCGATGGTCAAAAATCCTGCTAAACCTAGCAGTTCCTCGGATGAGACAAGTAAGGCAACAGTTACACGCGCCGGTCGGCGTGTGCACTGGCCTAAGCGATACTGCGAATTCGTTAACTAAACACCTTTACGTATAAGAGTAGTTCATACTCTCATTTTTTTTCTTTCCTTGTCGCAGTTTACATTCATTTTTCATGGTATTTACCCTTTTGATTTAGTTTGTGGGCAGTAGCCGCTTTTACAGTTACTAACCTTGTTAGATTTCTTTCTCTTTACAGAGTGTTCTAGCATTTTATTTTCAGCCTTACACTCGAACAGCTAACTACATCAATCAACTCTATCGTCGTATGGTGACCACCAACACTCGTGGAATTACAAACCAAACGACCAAAAATATGGACCCGATAAAAAAAATAATAAAATAAATAATAAAATGTAAAAACAAAAACTTTCACTGTATAGTTAAACGGACCGTGAAATATTTTTGGTATGTAAATACGTCACTTCTATGCTGTACAGTTTAATCAGCTCAATCTATTTTCACAGATCTTACTATTTTCACTCGAGTTATGCCATGACGAAACTTATTTATTTTGTGACCCATACTTGTAATTACTTTGCATCACTTTAATTATGCAGCTCGCTACATTTTTTTTTAACAAATGGTGATTATACTTATTCATAGCTATTGGTTGTACACACTCTTCTCTGTACCTTGCATAAGTTTTCACAGTGTTAGCAATTTCCCTTGTTTTATTTCAATTTGGCGTACCATTTCCATGTTACACTAGTTCCTTCGCATTTATTCCGCTTAAGTTTTTGTTAACACCCTATGCTGATTTTTAAATCTTAACCTCTTCTTCTATTCTTTTCTGTTGCTTTTACTTTATTCCTCCTAATACGCTGGTATATTGATTGCCTTTGGTGTTACTACTAGTTTTAGTTGATGAGGAAGGATGGATCATTAGTCTAAGAGGAAACTTAGACATAATGAGCCACTTTCCAGTTATAACAACGTGGGTAACGGAGGTAAACCATCATACCTCCACATAACCAGTCCGTAAAAGTATGTCGTAAAAAAAACTAAATAAATAAAAAAAGATAAGTATAAATAAACGCTGTTAAAAAAAGTTTGAAAAAAAAATCGCACCAAGGCACCAGCGTTATTCCTTCTTATATTCCATCTTACTCCATCGATCATGTACATAGTGCTCATAAATTGCCTTAATTTTTTTCCTTCATTCTTTCCTTTCTCAATATATATTTTTAAAAAAAAAAGAAAAACAGCAATTTTATTACTATCTTCACATTTTCTTGTCCATTCACCGTTATTGTACGCCACCTTGTGACTTTTATATATCGAAGCTTGCTGTTATCCCACCAACCTTCTAAGGGGGGGATAACCTGTAGTGTACATTGTACCTTTGAACTTTTGTTTGAATGAATGCAACCTGACATGTTTAACTTCACTTCCACTTCCGCTTTGTACTTCGGTTCCTCCTGTACGGTCACTGTCTCGCTCTCTCGCTGTACTTTCACCTAGTACACTCTACGAGCCGACAACCGTCTCATCTCCAGATAAGTGTGTATTTTTTATTCCTTATCAAATTGCATATCTCGTTGTGTAAATATAATCCCGGTCCAGTACACTTGCCATTTCGAGTCTTCTAAATTCGATTCCGTTCTTTAGTACTTGCACGTAGGCAGAGTACTAATTAAGGTTATAAACGGTGAAGGAGTTTTGTAAGAGTGGTTATTGTCAGGTAGAAGTAAACCCCAAGTCCAACTCTTACATATGTATAAATACACTCTTTGTCTGACCCATGTCGTATCATTACTGAATTAAACAGCAGTCCTCGAGGTTGCGCAGGAAAATCGACTTCATTTCGTTTTCAACCCGTAGTTGTAGGCACACGATAACCAACCAATATTGAGGTAAGTACAACGTTTACAAGGGATAGTAAGCTGTTTTAGGAAAGTAAAGGTGCAAAGGTGAATCATTAAAGTGTAATGAAATAGGTAAGTGCAATGTATCATTAATATATGCATTCATAAAGGAAATACAATGGGAGACTATAATCCCTAGGCTGACAAAGTTCCTTTGCAATGTATAATGCTACCCTATAGGTTTTACTATCATGTTGTCCACTTTTGGTTTAATACAATTATCCACAAGCCGGTTGTTTTAATTTCATACTTTTTTGTGTTTGGTGCACAACCGTACCCTATAGAGAATAGGAATAAAATAAGTCGAATGAAATTCATAAAGAGCTATAAAATGTTAGGTTTAGTGGAATATAATGAGCAAGTGAAGAAGTTATAAGAAAATGTATGAGATAAGACATTGTTAAGTGATATTCGAAGATACGACAAAGGAAAGCATGTCAATTTATAAGATGCCCCATAAATCTGTGCAGAGTCCACGTGGTCGCATCTCAGCAATAGGCTGACCGAATGGTATATGTTTAAAGGTATAAGCATGATCTGTCCAGGCGATCATTATCATCTTATTCAAGATAAAGATTCAAGCCCTCATATAAATCTCGAGCCATCAAATTGGAGGGTTAGGATCAACTCGAAACTCTCCTCCTGGACAATAGTACTTAGTGGAGTGCCACAAGGAACGGTACTTGGACCTCTCGCGTTTGTTTTGAATATCAGTGCTTACCAGTTACCCTATGATCCCATACGCAGATGACGTAAAAATAATGGGGGAGCTGAAGGGCGGCAGTGATACGCTTACGTTGCAAGAGAAACTTAGCGAATTCTCAGAGTTGAACAGAGAAAGGATGCTGTCAATCAATGTAGCGAAATGTGCACCCATGAGCACCGGACACTCAAGCATCAGCCGATACGAACCAGATGGAATAAAACTCCCATCAGTTCAGACTCATTTGGATTTAGGTACTTATAGGCTAAGGGTGTTGATGTTCATGGATAGTATGAAATATACCAACGCAAGATCTTATACGCACAACTTCTATAGTATTCGTTCCGCGTAGACCAAAGGCAAAGCAAAACATCATAACTGATCGTCCAAATTGCGAATTATATTTCGGGACCAAATCGGAGTATGAGGTGATTGCTTCACTAGGTAGGGATGGTACACAAACCAACGAGCGAAACACAACGGTGCGCCAAATGGCGTGTACGCTTGATCGGACGCCTTCAGTCAAACAAATCGACTAAAACAGTGAGGGTCAGCATCCAATGGTCAGTGATGAATGGTGTAGCAAATAATTCTAGGGAATTACCTATCGCTACAGGTGTCATGGTAGGTCACGTTTTAAAGACTACAGCACACTGTCGCACGGTGGCTGTACGTAGCTTCGGACCATTATGGGTAATTCACAGAGCCTTTACTGGAACTGCCAGAGATATGTCTACCTGCTTTCATACATCTGTGGTGAGGTGAAGACTGGAAAACTGTGTCCGGATAGCCAGGCTTTGTCTTGAAGGGGAAAAACATATTCTAGAAAGTGTTTGGAGGAATACGACACGTGTGACTCTCGACATGACTAATATATCATACGAGGAAAGACTAGATAGCTTAAATCTCTTCTCCCTATCATACTGTACGTAGGCAGAGACGAGATTTAATTACGATGTTGAAAACTTTAAATAATGATCACGGACCTGACCTATTCTGCCATTTTTCCTTCCCACCAGATTGGAACAGCTTGGAGGACATAGCAGGGGAGTTCAAAAGTCAAGGAGAAATCATATAACTGTTGAGTACTGGTTCTTACACTGAGTCATAAAGTCTTGAACGTGACTCCCAGAAGAAGTGATGTCTTCAACCTCAACTGATTCATTCAAGAAGGCTTTAGACAAGCACAGAAATTTACTGAAAAAGGGTTAACATAGGCTGGATGCCTTCTATCCTTAACAAATAAATCTCAATCTGAATCCTGGTGGTCCTAACATACTGCATACTACAAACCACGTTGTGACCAATCCCCGCACCATTCCTCTTGGAGTCTACCAGAGCTAGAGCAGTCGAGTGGCGGGACTTACTTACGCAGAAGTTCACCGAAGATCCGGAGCCCCTACCTTACAATCAAGAAGCGGGCTCAAAGAAATCACTGGTCTATACTAGCTCGTATTCAGGATATTGGATATTGAATTTGGAGGCGGGCTCTGTGAACTTCAAGGCTGTTTATGCTGTAATTAACTTTTGTTTGTGCATTTGTATTAATCGTAAGTGATAGTGCTAGGTGGGTGGGTTTAGTCTTTGTGATATATTCCACATTAGGGAAAACAAATAACTATAAAATGTCATTTCAAATAAGATTATGCCCACCTTTGTAGACTTGGAGATTGCAGTTACAGTATTTTAAAATAAAGTAATTACTTATTTCCTAGGTACTTATTCTGTAAATCTATACTGTGAGGTACGGTTATGGATTTTAAAATGAAGTTATAAGGTCTGGGGTTAACGATATGATTAGGAGTTAAGATTATTGTGACTGTATACAGTCACCTGGATGGATGCATCTATCGCGCAAGGTATGATTTCTATATAGGTCATCTATATAGTCACTGAGAGACATTCTTACAACACATAATCGACAACCGTGTAGTGTAAAATCATGTGTGCAATGTCTTTTAGTGCATTTTTTTCAACGACCACGCAACTTTTCTGCATCTGAATTCCAATTTGTTGTTTTGACTATGACAGTTTAAATTTGACAAATCTGAGAATCTGTCCTCTCTTTAACTGTATCAACTGGAGTTGATTTACTTGTGCAAATCTCCATGTTATCAAGTCAGTTAGCATGTCCAGTTGGGAGAGTCCTTGAGCTTAAAAGCACAAATAAAACAGTTAAGTTAATTGCCAAATACTGATGCACCTTTAGGTGTCAGATGTTTTCCATTTATTTACCTCTACAGTGAAATTATCCTTTTCTAAAGGTATCTGACTTTAAATTCACTATGTCAAAATCTTTGATGTCAGTGTCTACTGATTTATATTTCGTATTTTCTGAAAAGAATTCCTCTATTACATAGATGTTACATTGTGCTTAGTATATTTTTCTTCTAACAGGTATTTTAGAATGTCGCATAAATTATTTTACTTAATTGCGACATTAATTGCTCATTTGTGTTTGGTAAATGCGGACACTCCTGCTAATTGTACATATGAGGATGCTCATGGTCAATGGATCTTTCACGTTGGAGATTATCAATCAAAATGTTCTGAAAATTGTAAGCGAAATGTTTTAAAGTTCTCGAATGAATTTAGTAAAACCGAAACAGTTTGTCACTATCAATCTTTTATATCCGGATATTGCTATGGATGCATTTGGGAATAGAGGACATTGGACACTTATTTACAATCAAGTAAAGTTTTAAATTGATAAATTCATATTATTTTGTTTAGGGTTTTGAAGTGACAATAAATCATCGTAAATGGTTAGTTATATTCTATTATAAATCAAATGGAGATTATAATTGTCACAAATCTATGCCAATGTGGACGCATGATACTTTAATTCGTCAATGGAAATGTTTTATGGCGGAGAAAATGGGAGTACATGACAAGTAATTTTAATATTTATCCGTTTAACGTTATTAGACAGCCAGCAATTTTTTCATTGTGCTATGTTTAACCAAATGGGTTTTGTATGAACAAAAGGTCTGGCATATGCTAGTGTATCCGTGCATACTTTTCGTGACATCATTACACGAATATTTTGTTTCGAGTCAAATTTTTGAGTGGAATAAAACATTACGTTAGTTAAGAAATGAAACATCGACATCTTCAACGCATATTGCAGCTACGGGATATCCTGTGGCCACGTCTGTCCGAGGGTCGGCTCGCAAATTAGCTATCCAGCTCAGAGAACACAACCACATCAAAAGAAATGGAGTGTTATTCAAAACAGGTTGTATAACAGTATTAACAGGATCGCTTAATGCTTTTATAGAGTGATTTTGAGTTTTCTGAGTTAAAGATGCATTTACAGTTTCGAAACGTCGATGTCTACTCTAGTTCCAATAGTTGGATGATGCCATTAGCTTTTAGTTAGCCGCCGTGGTTCATGCGTTATATACAGTTATCTTAGAGCTTCCTCAGTTGCATTTCTTTTACATCTGAAGCTACTCTTCTCGTATATTTGGCATACAGAAATTCCTGTAATCAATTAACGGAAGTGTTCCATGCTTCGGTCTCGGTATCAAAATAGTATCTCAGACCTCACATGAAATATGAAACCAGAATTCAGTAGTAGAGTTAAATTTCTTCTATGTTCTTCTAACTCATTTCACTTGCTAATTCAATCAATTATTCAGTCATTCAACGTAACATGGTTAATATGATACTATATGGGACGTTCAAGCCTGCTACCTACCACGCCTACATGTTGATTCAAGGGTATCTTAGTTTAAGAATCAAATATTCACTGAAGCATCGTCTGTTTGTCATATCTACCTACTCACTGACAGGTTGTAGTCCATATGGATTTAAGTGTCGGTGTCAGCTGATTGATTGACAGACTAGCGTGCTCTACAGATGCGTAGTACTAGCTAGGGACGTCTAGACTTTTACAAGAGGCGTACGGATAGTCGAAGGAGACTCAGTGTTTACGTAGAGGCCGCTAAATCTGGGGGTCAAAACGTGCGTATGTGATGGGAACTGCGGCTGCATTTGGCAATAGTTGGAAGCTGTTCCAGCTCATCCGAGCCAATAGTAATAAGACACTTAGTGTCTATGAGATGGATTATGAAGCAGATAGTACGTTGATTAACAGCCTACAGAAATACCTAGAACACTGGACAGAACACTTTGGGAAAAATAGATGTTGCCCAGCTCAGATGTTTAATATTTTTAGTAACAGTGCTCTGTGTGGGTGGTTAACACCGATTCACCTGAAGAAGCAGAAGTTCAAGAAGAACTCCAAGTTCTCAGGTGCCATAAGATGACCGACTCAGACAACTTAAGCACCACTCTTTTTAAAGATGATAACGTGACGCCTAGTCAAAGAATTGACTGGACTGTTTGGAAAAGTGTGAGATTGCCTCATCAGTGTGCTGAAGACGGTGATGGTGGACTTGTCGAGTCTATCTTGAGCGGTTTCCAGCGTAATTAGACAAAGAAGTTGTAAAGAAGTCAATCTGGAGTTCCATACTAGTACACCTTGTGGGGACAAATCACAAGACTGGCAAAAATGTAGCCCTTACAATTTTGTCCTACGTCAATTTCCTAAGTCTGTACGCCTTCGACTGCTAAGCATAGCTGAGGTAGTTGACATAAAATTTAAATTTTAGGTGACAGTAGCAGTAATTAATATATATATATTTTTAAATTTTAGCCCCAAAACCAACAAACAAATTCCCTTCAAAGGTTTTGTCAATACACTTTATCAAGTTGACTTCGAGCTTGTGAACAGAATAAACACACAGCAAAACTCATGGCGAGCAGCAGTTTACCCTGAACTGTCAAAGTACACGATGGCTGAAATGAGAAGTCGAGCTGGTGGTGTCAAGTCTTCACTTTCTAGGTAAATTTATCCTAAACATTTTGAATGAATAATATCTGCTTTTTCCCATTTCAACTGAGATTGATATTCCAGGAGATACCTCCTATGGAAAACTTCAGTTAGTTTAAAATTTACTTCATGACAAAAAAGAGTGCACAGTTATGTATTTTTAATTTTAAACTTCTTAGCCATATATACTGGGGAACTCTTAGCAGTATTGAATCTCTACTTTTACAGACTGTCAACGATTGTTTGACCATCGGCACACTGATACATGGTTAAATTGTTATTTCTTAAAGCTGTCAGTGATTCTCATTCCCGGCCAACCGTCATCAAAGTGATCGGACACTAATATCAGGAATATATTTATAAGTATTTGTGTGGGGTTGGAAAATGTTGTTTACTGAATTCTGATTCAGTTACTCATTCAAATCCTCGTTGTTAGAAAGGATGGTGTGATGATTTACGTTTATGGTAGGTGTGGTTGGAAGCAATCGACAGGAACCCCTAGATCTACGTTTCGTGCTTGTTGGTACTTGTTGGCAAGGCGTATCTGCAACCTTGAAAGGATTCATGTTCCCTCTGAAATTCAAACCCGTATCATCTGCTGTTGCAGTCAAAAACGGTACTATACTGACCTGTTCAGACTGACGATAGACCTCCTATAGGCTACGTTTTCATGGTTTCCGGTAACTAAAACAGGTTCATGCGCCATTCGATCGGTTCGGATGGTGAAGCTCGTATTCACCATAGGTTTGGAACCAAGGTTTTCCAGTTCCTGTAAGTAGACAAGCATATCCACTAGTCTGATTGTAAGAGCCAGGCGTTAGTGTTTTTCTGTTTGCTTTTTGCGAGGAGCGACCCCGCCGCATGCAGCCAGTGAATATGATTTACGTGGTAGAGGCCGTGAACGCGTGGTTACGTTAGAGCATTTTGACAGAAGGACCGAAATCTACCCACTCTCGGCTGTACCATGTCTTCTTTTGCGAGTGGAGGGGGGGGGGGCGCATCCTCTGAGAGTTATTTGGTAATCGTTTAAATTTTGTTATACATAACGTAATCATATTTATACCATTATATGTCTTCTAAGTCATGGGGGAGTTTACTAAAGGACTAGCATACTGGGAACATAACTTCTCATTAATCGATTATGCATCATAATCCAGTACAAAAATTTGCCACAGGTTATGGAGTAGTTGCATGTGCTGTTCCAGAAGAAGCAGCATAGGTATACCTAGTTAATATTACATTCTTCTTGTTATTTAACGGAGTAATGCATGTGTTGGTATTCATTCATCTCTTTCAGACCTGCACCAATGTTGCACAGAACCAGGGCATCAGAAGAACTCCTTGCGTTAACTAGAAATCTCCCGGTAGAATTTGATTGGGTCAATCCACCAAATGGTCTACGAAGTCCTGTTACACCAATTCGTAATCAACAAGCTTGTGGTAGTTGTTATGCCTTTGCATCTGCTGCTGCACTTGAAGCGCGTATTCGTCTAGCTAGCAATTTCACTCTGCAGCCTATTCTATCTCCTCAAGCTATAGTTGATTGTAGTCCTTATTCTGAAGGTAGTTTAATCAGATTTATTCCGTGTGTGTGTTTTTGATTGGCAGTGTATGGAATTTCCGTGACTTTTTTTCCCTTCACGTTCCCCAGTGAAACATAGGGGTTCAAGCTAGTGGCTTGGAGTTTCTGTAGCAGTGTTTATTTTTACAGGATGGGGTTGCTAGCCTCATGCCCAACCTTTCCTCTTTACCAGCATTATTTCTGGCTTAGAGAGGTAAAAGAGTGCGTCCGTGGCCGGGGATCGAACCCCGGACCATGTGCATGGTTGGCGAGCGTCCTAACCGCTATGCCACCGACGCACTTACTGACATTAAAAAGTTATTTTCATCTGAAATCTAAAGATTCGCCGTATATCACTGTGTGCATCGATGGTGGTTCAATGGCAGAAAAATGTTCATCAACCACGCACTCCCGAACCACACTCAACTGGTTAGTAAAGCCGGCATAGAGAGGAGATTGAACACGTGAGGCTAATGACACCTCAGAGTTCAAGCTTGAAACCTCTATGTTCCAATTGGAACACAGGGGAATGAAAAAAGTCTCTATAGCAATACAACTGAGTGAATTTCAACAGAGAACTTTGCACAGATGATATGAAGCAGTTCGAGTTGCCACACTCCATGTAACACACAAACACAAGAGAGGAGAGTGAAGAAGGGTTCAAAAAACAGATTATAAACAGAAGTGTGAGTGGGGGAAGAACAATAGAGTTTTATTGGATACGTCAAATCACAGGGAGTGAATGCCTCTGTGCCTGTCATTCAGAACGATTTTCAGCCGTATCACCAATCGTCTCCAGCCGTCATTGGTTCTTACCATCCAGAGGACTCCAACCAATGAGACAGTTTACACCTTCCTACGTGGCTGTCTGTCTGAAACTAACTGTTGTGGATTTCATTGACTGATAAAGCCACGTTTTGGCTTGACCACCACTGGCTCTTCCACAACCCTCACCCTGTGTCAGTTAACATTTTCCATCAAGGAAACCGATGGCTGGACATGCGTAACACATGTCCAAACCATCTCAATCGATGTAGCTGCTTCATAACATCATGGATTGATTTTTCCTCCTTCCATAACACTTAACTTATAACTTCAGTATTCCTCATCCTATTACACCCACCATCTAACATGGGAGATAGGACTCAGACACCTATGATCCACGACAACTAGGCATGCTTTTCATGTCTTCTACTTTCAATATAATAGTCGATATCATTAATATTAAGAGTAGACTTTTGGCACTATAGTAGAATATAATTCCATATTAGATAAGTTCACTTAATATAACACAGTCATCAAGTATTCATCACTGAATGACCTTTTGAGCACCATTCATTCATTGCTCATAATTATGTCAATCCGTATTCACACGACTTCCTGTCTTGCCTTTCTAATAATCTAATTTCCATATATCCGGCATATATAGGTGTTACATCGTTCCTATAGCATGTCTATCTGGATTCAACATAGAACTTGGCACCGAAGTGCAGCAGTTCGAGTTGCCACGTTCCAAATAGCACACAAAGGTAGACAAGAAAATAAGTGAAGAGAATCAATAGAGTTTTGACAAGTATAAGAGTGAAACAGCATGAATGAGTAATGGTAGAAAGGAATATGAAAGATTACAGAGACTGAATACATCTGCGTAAGCCATTGACAACGATTTTGAGCCATGTCACCTATTGTCTCCAGCCATTGATCCTTAGAGTCCCGAGGGCCCCAACCCGGAAGTCTGCATCTCCCTCCCTACCTGACTCATTTTAACTGTCAAGGATTTCATGGATTGATTGATGCCATGTTTTTGTTTGGCATGGCACCACTTACTCTTTTCCAACCTGCACCTATATCAGCTAGCTAGTTATGCCTGTCGGGGGAGGTGATGATTAGACATGCGCAGCACGTGACCTAGCCATCTCAATCTATGTAACTTTATAGCCTCTTCGATTGATTTTCCCTCTTTGCCCAACACTCTACGCCTAACGTCAACATTACTTACCTTATTATACCACCTAACGTGAGAAAGAGATCGTAGACATCTATGATCAAAAACAGTCAACCTTTTCATGTCTTCAACTCGTATTGTCCATGTTTCAGAGCCATAGAGAAGGACGGAGCGAACTGCTGAGCAGTACACACGTCCCTTGGTTGATAGTCGGATGTCACGCCTACGCCAGAGATGGTGTAAGTTAGCGAAAGCAGCTCGAGCTTCTTGGATCGGTGCTGAGATTTAGTCACCAATCAATCCATTGGTGCTGAAGTGAAGTGGTGAAGTGGTCAACATGTTCTATCACTTCACTCCCTATCACTAAGCTAGGAGTTGACGTAGTCAAGTCCTGTAGCAGCATCTTACATTTCACAGGGGCGAATCGCATGCCAAACATACGAAGATTGCTGCTCAAGATGTTCAGAAGACTGCATTTTGTCAGCATCCTCCCCCAACAGGACTATGTCATCTGCATATTCTAAGTCCATAAGACTATCCCCTGGTAACAAGTCGATTCCTGAGTCGTTAAGTTCAGTTAAGGATACTTCCATTAGCATATCTATGATGAAGTTAAACAGAAATGGGGAAAGTGGACATCCCTGATGGACACCACTGGTTGTTATCAATAACATGTATTTATTGTTGACTCAATGAACAACCACTCGGTAATTAACCTTCCCTCTCTCCACCTAACTATATTAGTTTTTGATATTTTTGTCATATCCCACCCGGCTGGGCTATTACATGCAAATTCATGTATAGCTTTATCACTATTGCCCGGAATATAAGTTTAATTTAGAAAAACTTTTATGGGATGGTGAAATCTAATTATATGACTGCTTATGAAGTCATTGATCTTTGTTTGATCTGAATTGTATTCACAGGTGGCATTTTCTGGATGTAAATTAATCACTGTTTGGAGATCCTTTGTGATGGATGATATAACTATGAATCTTTTAGTATAGGTCGGTCGGTCGGTTTTCGACATAGAACTTTGCACATATGTGCGGCAGTTCAAGTCGCCACAATCCATGTAGCACGCAAACCAAGAGAAGAAAGTAGAAGAAATGCATAATATAGACAGTAAACAGAGGTGTAAGACAAAAGGAATAGTAATAAAGGAGAACAGAACAGTTTAATTGGAAATCATAAGTCACAAGGAGTGGATGGATCTGCGCCACTGAGAACGATTTTGAGCCATGTCACCAACTGTTTCCAACCATTGGTTTTTACCATCCCGAGGACCCCAACCAGGAAGTCTGCATCTTCCTACGTGGCTTAGACTAACTGTTGTGGATTTCATTGACCGGTGCCATGTTTTGGTTTGACCGCCGCTAGCTCTTTTCCAGCCTGGCCCTATATCAGCTAACATTGCCCGTCGAGGAAGGCGATGACTAGGCATACGTAACACATGTCGTAACCATCTCAGTCGAAGTAATTTCATCGTTTCGTCGATTGATTTCCCCGTCTTACCTAGCACTCGACGCCTAACCTCAATATTACTCACCTTATTATACCACTTCACACGGGAGATAGAACGCAGACACCTATGATCGAAGACAGCTAATCTTTTCATGTCTTCTGCTCTCAACGGCCAGGTCTCACAGCCATAAAGGAGGACGGAGCGGACTGTTGAGCAATACACACGCCCTTTGGTCGATAGTCGGATATCGCGTCTACGCCAGAGACGGCGAAAACTGGCGTATGCGAACCTAGCCCTCTGTATTCGTGCTGAGATTTCGTCTGAGATCAACCCGTTGGGGCTGATGGTACTTCCCAAGTAATTGAAGCGGTCAACGTGTTCTACCACTTCACTTCCTATTTCTAAACTAGGGGTCGATGAAGTCCAATCCTGCAGCAGCATCTTACATTTTACAGGGGTGAATCGCATGCCAAACATACGAAGATTGTTGCTCAAGGTGTTCAGTTGACTCTGCATTTTGTCAGAGTCCTCGCCTAGAAGGACTATATCGTCCGCATATTCTAAGTCAACGAGATTATTCCCTGGTAGCAAGTCAATCCCTGAGTCGCTGAAGTGTGATAGGGTTAAGTCCATTAGTACGTCTATGATGAAGTTGAATAGAAATGGGAATAGTGGGCATCCCTGATGGACACCACTAGTCGTCACCACTTCAGATGACAACTCGCCATAAGCCCTCACCTGGCTGACTGCATGAGTACGAGTAGAGTGCCTTAATCAGTGCAATGTATTTTCTTGGCATTCCCTTTACAGCCAAGCATCGCCAGAGAACCTCTCGGTCGACAGAGTCGAATGCCGCCTTTAGGTCAAGAAATATAATGATTGTCGGACGCCGGTAGGAATGCCTATGTTCTAGAATCTGTCGAAGGGTGAAGATATGATCAATACACCTTCTACCTGGCCTAAAACCTGCCTGGTTTTCTCGTGTTTGTGTCTCCTGAGCACCACTTAGTCTACGCAGTATTATTGAGCCTAGGATTTTAGATACTATATTGGTCAAGCTAATCCCTCTGTGATTATCACAAGAAGACATGTTTTAGTATAACACAAATTGATTCATGAATTATCGTTTCCAAATTCCTAACGTCATTAATTCTCACTAAATTGTTCTCATTATCTCTCCTTTCTTATTCATGTTCGTCTTTTGTAATACCGTCCATTTTTAATCTTTCACGGAAGTTTCATATTTATTTACATGTTGTGCTATAACAGAATTTGCGCATATATTTCTTTTTAAAAGTTTCATCACGGATTGATATCATATAGAAAACCACTGAAAACCAAAAGCGGAGTGCTGGAAAGCTGTTTCGTCCCAGTTTGGAACTAATCCGATGTACACACTCCCTACCAGGATTCAAACCCAGGACTTTCCTGTTACAAGGAAAACCCGTAGATAATTCAGCCACTAAGACCCTACTGGATGACCCACTACCCATGAGTTCTAACTTCTACCAATTTGTGATTTTAGCGCAACTGTCATCAGCCAATGCCATCCATGGTGAGTATTTATCCTCAGTCCCGATAGGGTTGACCCCACTGGTGACGTCTTCTCACTAGAACTCTAGTCCTGTAACCAGTTACTAACGATCATCAGATTGATTTTGATGAATTAGACTGTAGGGATTTGGTTTATTTCAAGTATGATCACGGATTGCTATCAGTTAGAGATCCACTGAATGATCTACATACCATGACTTGTAACTGGAAGGTCCTAGGTTCGAACCCTGTCAGTAGATGTGCAATGCTGTCTGTCTGTGTTCGACATAGAACTTTGCACCGATGCGCGGCAGTTGAATTCACCACACTCCATGTATCACAAAAACCAAGAGAAGAAAGTAGAAGAAATGCAAAATATAGATAGTAAACAGGGATATGAGACAAGAGGAATAGTAATAACGAAGAACAACATAGTTTCATTGGAAATCATAGGTCACAAGGAGTAGATCCATCTGCGCCATTGAAAACGATGAGTTTGAGCCATATCACCAATTGTTTCCAACCATTGGTTTTTACCGTCCCGAGGACCCCAACCAGCTAAGAAGTCTACACCTTCCTGCGTGACTGGCTTAAACTAACTGTTGTGGATTTCATTGACTGGTGCCATCCCTATGTCAGCTAACATCGCCCATTGTCGAGAAAGGCGATGACTAGGCATACGTAACATATGTCCTAACCATCTCAGTCAATGTAATTTCACAGTCTCGTCGATTGATTTCCCCCTCGACCAATGCCTAACCTCAATATTGCTCACCTTATTATACCACTTGACACGGAAAATAGAGCGCAGGCACCTATGATCAAAGGGATGTGCAGTGCTGATGAGTCCCAAGCTAGGAAGAAACAGCTTTCCAGTATATATATAATAAACGTTTTAACCCAAGCGTCTGTAACAATTATTTGACTGTTTAGGCTGTAGCGGTGGTTTTCCTTTCCTGATTGCTGGAAAATATGCTGAAGATTTTGGATTTGTACCAGAAGACTGTGATCCATATACTGGTGAAGATGGCGACAAATGTCCTGTATCCAAAAACTGTACTCGGTATTATGCTACAAATTATGGTTATATTGGCGGTTATTACGGGGCGACTAATGAAGAACTTATGCGATTAGAACTTGTTAATAATGGTCCATTCCCTGTTGGATTTGAAGTATACGAAGATTTTCAATATTATAAGCAGGGTGTCTATCGTCATACAGGACTTCATGTGAGTTCCCTCCCCCACCACCCCCTACGCAACATTGTTTTTTAAAATATTTTTTATTATTTTTAAAGTTAACGTATCATTCACGCATTGAAGTTGATTTTCTAAGCTGCGAAGTCGAATTAGTATTCAACTACTGCAAAAAATCCCTCAAAACTGCTCTTAAATATCAGCAAGCCTTGACAAAGTTCAACTTTAGACACCTAAGAGATGCGGACGAACCAGTGATCTTGGAACGAGAAGTTGCACTAGAGAACGAATTCAAGCCCCCCCCCTCAACTCTCCCTAACCCTAACCGACCGTAATATCTCTATAACTAGGTGAACGTAATCCTAACGTGTCCTTTTTTGATAATAATAATAATAATAATAACAATAATTTGCTTTATTCCAAAACAGTACTTGTGATACAGAATGGAATTCTCAGCATTTTTACTACAGTATTGCATCCAGTTAGTACATTGTCAATAAATAGAATTCTACATAGATTGAGGAAACCAACAGTTCATTACTACAACAATACATTGGCATGTCAGTAGCAAAGGTAAAGCTGAAACAGTGTTTGAAGGTGTTAGAAAAGTGGGAGCTGTCTTATTAACTGGCGTAAGCGAGAGAAAGAGACAAAGCAGCACATAACGGAAAAAGAAGAGAGAGAAAAGGAAAAGAAAGAAAGAAAATGTTGTACCTATAAATGATGTGGGTTGGAAAGACGAGATCCAGTTGTACTACTGACTATTCAATGAATTATAGGTGTCACGCCTAATGCTTTCTTTATCACACAGAACACGAGCTAAGTAGGGTATGGTTGAGTTTTTGTACTTGCTGGTGCGAGCATATAGTTTTCTATATTGGCTTCTGGTTTTACCTGATGAGATGCAAGGCGAGAGTTGTGAATGAAGAGGGTGTGGTGTGAGTTAGATAAAATGGACTTGGCCCATTCCTCACATGAGTCCATGTGCCTGTCAACCAGAGTATTAGCAAGCTGGTTAAGTGGTACGTTGCTTACCCTGCTGACAACCTTTAACATCCTGCATAATATGATGTTATAGTCTTTCTTCAGTAGCCCGGGAAAAACTAAGGGGGAACAATAGAGAATAATAGGCAGGATGCGAGAATTAACGAATTGTAGGAGTAAGGATTGGGTTGGGTAATAACAGAATGTTTTAACTTCTTGATGTAGAAGGTAAGACGGAATATTTTCTCAGAAATTGCTAAGATATGAGACGACCAGGAGAGATCAGCAGATAGAATGACGCCTAGGTATTTAATTTCCGATTTCGTTTCTATTTCAGTGTTGCACAATGTTCCACACCTCGTGAGAGCCAACCAGTTTGTTTAGGTCGGATTTATGCCTAAAGGTGAAATTGACTGTTTGGCATTTGGAGGGGTTTAGGGTAAGACCATTTTCCTTGGACCACTGGCTGATTTCTGAGAGAAAGCCATTAAGTTTAGAGCAGTCACTTTGACATTTGATAGGCAAAGATACAGACAGATCGTCAGCGTATTTGACAAAATTAATGTCATTTGAAGATGGTAAGTCATGTAGAAAGAGGGAAAGGAGAAGTGGGGAGAGTACAGCGCCTTGGGGGACTCCGGCTTCAGTGAGTACAGCAGAGGATGATTTACCTTTGTACACGGTGTACTGCATTCTGTTAGAGAAGTAGGAATGCAACCAGTTAGTGACCCAAGACTCAGTTTTCGTCAAAGAGAGCTTATTTAGCAGGAGACATCTAGGAACAGAGTCGAAAGCAGAAGTGAAGTCAAGAAACGTGCAGCGGATGTACTTGGCACCTTTATCTAATGATGGGACGATGTTGTTGTGTAAGACAGCTGCAGCGTCTAATGTACTCCTACCCTGTCTATAGGCAAATTGTTTGGGGTCTTCGAAGTTTTTAAGGGAGGGTTTGAGTTTAAGAAGTATAAGTTTTTCCATAAGCTTTAGAAATGGGTAAGTGATGGCAATGGGTCTGAAGTTTACGTCCTTGCCGTTTCCAGGTTTAGGGACAGGGACAATTTTGATGTCTCTCCATGCATCAGGTACGATATTTTTAGAGAAAGAAGCATTTAGGATGTCGGTTAGTGGAGAACACAACACATCTGCTCATTGTTTTAGAACATAGGCAGGTATACCATCAGGACCAAGGCTACGTGAGGGCTTGAGTGTTTTAAGACATTTTAGAACATCGAGAGTATTAAAGTCATGAAAGTTTTCAGCTACATGATAGGTAACATTAGAAGTAGTTAAAGTAGAAGGACAGCGTACAAAAGACTGATTAAGAGCATTAACATCATAAGAGGGAAAAGTATTACAACGCTTACTATTCTATTACCAGTAATTTCATTGAAAAGTTTCCACATACTGATTGGAGATTTACATGATAAAGGTGTATCATTATAGATAGCATTAAGATTTTTGATTTCAGATTTGATCTGAGCATTAATCTTTTTGAGTCCTAACTTGTCTTTGGATTTGTATAAAGTTTCTTTTTTCCTGCGAAGTTGTTTGAGATAAGGAGATGAGAAGCTGTCGAGGCGTTTGAATAGAGTTTGTTTGGGACAGCATATATCAAGGCAAAACTTAAGATAATCCGTTATATTGACAATTGTGTCATCTAATGAACTTTCATGGAATAAGTCCCAGTTAGTATTTTGTAACATGCTTCTTAGATTGAGTAAGTTTTCGGGTGAGTAGCATCTTTGTTGTGCTTTCATAGACAGATGCGAGAAGACTTTAATATGTGTTTTGCTGTAAATTTTTGGTAGAACACGAACAATAGAGTGATCAGAGTTGAGGATCGGTGCACGTTTACGTGCTTCATAGATTCCTTGGTCATTTGTGAAAACTAAATCCAGTGTTTTGTCTAGTCGAGTGGGAAATTTGACAATGTTAGAGTGACCAAGTGCTTCAAGTAAGGAGCAATTTGACGAGTTGAAGTCCCCAGTAATAACAGATAGAGAGTTATCGAAGTTGGCGGCAGCAAACATGGTGAATTCATCAGCAAAATTTGAAAGATTAGATAGTGAGCAACTTGGAGAAATGTACATGTTTGTGATAAAGATGTGTTTATATTTGGGGAGATGTTTGGGACGACATTTGACGGTGATGCAGTCTATGAAGTCATTTGAGAATGAGAAGCAAACATTTTTAGAAATAGACCATTTTGAGTTAATGAAAGTTGCTACTCCACCCCCATTTTTCTTATTACAACATTTTCGGTCTTGTCTAAATAGGATGAAGTCCTTTAGAGAGATGAGATTGTCATCGTACAGTTCGTGTAACCATGTTTCTTGTAATGTGATTATCGCAGTATTGTGATAAGTGTCAGTGGACATCAAGGATTGTAGGTACATTATTTTGTTTGGCAGAGAGCGGCAGTTGGTGTTCATTATGATAGGGACCGTGGTTAAGTGTATTGGTGTACGTTTAAGAGCTCTTTGCCAGCCACTACGATGCTTCTTCCTTGATTTCTTGGGAATATGAAAGTTATTGGGTCGTAAATGAAGGTAACAGTAATCATTCCCTAGCCTTACTTAAAAGTAACCAGATATCCTGTTTAATATCATTTTCATTTGCCTGGTTATCATGTCTTGTTCCGAGTGGGTATTGCAAGGTGATCATTGGTGCTCCCATCGGATTTCGAACCCAGGACCTTCTGGTTACAAGGCCAGCGAGCTCATAGACCATTAATCCACTGGTAGCCGATCCAATTGCTATGTCATAAATTGTCAGAAGTTAGAATTCATGGGCCATTGGATCGGGTCCCAGTGGATTAATGGTCTACGAGCTCGCTGGCCTTGTAACCAGAAGGTCTTGGGTTCGAACCCCGGTGAATGCGTGCTGCTGAGGTGTCCCAAACTACAACGAAATAGCTACCCAGTGTCCCACAGGTTTTCCAATGGTTCTCTAAGTGATTGTCAGCTCATGATAAAATCCTCCAACCAATTTTGATGTATTTGTTTTTTTCTGAGTCGGATGGTTTAAGTTACGAAGCTTTCGTTGTCGTTCTAGGCAACATCTTCACCGCTATACTTCAAAGTGAATTGGGCTTTTAGAATTCTTTACGAGTTTATTAGTCATCTCTCCTGGTAAGCTTGAACGCGATTGTTAATCTTGATAACCTTGGATAACTAATCTAGTTCAAGGTTACCAGGAGAGGTGACTAACAAACTCACGAATAATTCTAAAAGCTTACTTCAATTTGAAGTATAGTGCTGAAGATTTTGCCTAGAACGACAACAAAAGCTTCGTCACTACACCATCTGGCTGAGAGAACACAACTACACCGAAATAATTCACCTCAGCAGCTGCAAATCTTCCATTATCTCTGAAACACCAATTTTCCAATTTTCTAATTTCATTCAATGTTTCCCTTTTTCCCTTGTTTATGTTTTTTTTTGTTTTGCTTGTTAGAGTAATCGATACGGTTTTGATCCATTCGAGTTGACCAATCATGCTGTTCTATTAGTCGGTTATGGTGTGGATAAGTCAACTGGTGAACCATACTGGAAAATAAAAAATAGTTGGGGTTCTGGATGGGGTGAACAAGGATTCTTTCGAATTCTACGTGGAGTCGATGAATGCGGCGTAGAAAGCTTAGGTGTTCGATTTGATCCTGTTCTATAAGTAATCCTACACTTGTGTGTCTGCGTATAAACCTAAGCTAAGCTCTACACATCTTTACTCTTATAGATACATAAACGAACAAATCATGCAGGATGTATAAGACTGCCACTCTTACATTTGATCTGACTACTCTGCAATCTCATTTACTCTATTATTATTATTACTTTTTTTTATACATTTATTTAAAACACATTTACTATTGCAATTAGATGGATTGATAGAAGCCGGTGATTTTAAAGAAGAATTATTTTGTAGACCACAGCGTACATCCATTTTAGATCTGTTTTCCCCCTCTTTATTACCGTTTGATATATTTTTCAAGCTGCTCCTAAGCGTTTCATGTTTTTAGCACGTTGATTATTTAACAATTACAAATGGACAATTTACAGACATAAAATTGCCTTGTTTTTGAACTTTCAGCAGTGATGATGTTTTGTGTTTTTTCTCACTGAAGCTGCTAATCTCACCCCACCCCCACCGCCAAAGCTTTCCTTTTTATCCGAGCTTACTACCACCGGCTACATGAGATTTAAGTGTGCTTCGACCGGGAATCGAACTCAAACCGCCAGTCAGCGTGGTTGAAAAGTGAGCATTCTACCATCGATGCACAAAGTCAGGCTTTCTCATCCTCTTTTCGAACACTTCGGCAGTCTCTCTCTAGATTCAACATGGAACTTGGCACCGAAGTGCAGCAGTTCGAGTTGCCACGTTCCAAATAGCACACAAAGGTAGACAAGAAAATAAGTGAAGAGAATCAATAGAGTTTTGACAAGTATAAGAGTGAAACAGCATGAATGAGTAATGGTAGAAAGGAATATGAAAGATTACAGAGACTGAATACATCTGCGTAAGCCATTGACAACGATTTTGAGCCATGTCACCTATTGTCTCCAGCCATTGATTCTCAGAGTCCCGAGGGCGGGCCCCAACCCGGAAGTCTGCATCTCCCTCCCTACCTGACTCATTTTAACTGTCAAGGATTTCATGGATTGATTGATGCCATGTTTTTGTTTGGCCACCACTCACTCTTTTCCAACCTGCACCTATATCAGCTAGTAATGTTAGGCATGCGCAGCACGTGACCTAGCCATCTCAATCTATGTAACTTTATAGCCTCTTCGATTGATTTCACTTCGTATTCATGGTCTTGCAGGGGATCGAACTCTAGGACCTTCAGATTACGGCGCAAGGCTGTTGATCATTCATCCACTGGGATCATTATACTGCATACTTACGAAATTTTACATTTAGAACAAGACATATAAGCGAACAATATTGTTTTCAATTTGATCTTCAGGCTTTACTCTAATTTAAATAGATTTATATATAAAATTTTAACCAGTGACGGTGATTTTGGGAATCAAATAATAATAATAATGTGGTAAATGTTTTGAACGTAGTTAATAACGATGATTATAATGATAACAAAATATTCATAATAAGGTTTATGCAGGTGGCAATAAGAATAACAAAGGTAGTATGTTTATATATGCGTATATGTAGACAATTCAATAAATAAATTAGGTTAAATCTTAAAAGTTACGTTATACTAAAGGCGAAGTGGACAGATAATCAGATTGAGAGTGGTCACCAAGTGGACAAAAATAGTGCCTTCAAAGTTATCTGTTGCATTCCAACAAGCCTTTCGAACCCGTCTTCTACGCATAGCCGGAGCTATGGGAATTAATTCGAGAGAACAATCCTAGTGCCTTGGCATACAACAAAAGAAGTTTGTTCTACCTTTGTCTCTCCCTTGCTTGCCTAGGTGAACTCTATTCAAAACTCTCCCATCCTTTCTTATTTTCCATCTCCTTCGTACTTTTATGATATTTATTTAAACTCTGATTATCTGTCCACTTCACCTTTTAAGATTTGACCTAATTTATTTATTGAATTGTCTACATATACGCTTATGTACATATACTACCTTTGTTATTCTTATCGCCACCTGCATTAACCTTGTTATCATTATAACCATCGTTATTAATTAATTAGGTTCAAAACATTTACCACATTATTATTATTATTTGATCCACAAAATCACCGTCATTGGTTGAAAATTTTTATATATAAATCAATGTAAATTAAAGTAAAGCCTGAATATCTAATTGAAAACAATACTGTTCGCTTATATGTCTTGTTCTAATATTTAAAAAATGGGAATATTAGATATATCACACAGTGGAACAGTATTATTTAGTGAGTGATGTTTCAAACAAAATTTACTGTTCATAATCATATCAATTATAGCCAAACGACTTCGAAAATTGAGTTTTATAGTTTTCTTTGTCTTGCCTTGCTTTTCCGATGTTCCTTGCTCTGATATCCTCGTCAGTTCCGTCCGCCTCTAGTTGAAACGATGCTTCCCGGGTGGGTAGGTAAAGTAGACTGCTTCTTTCAGATTTCCCCCTGTAACCTATACATTTATGAACCAATCCCCCTTCTCAGGTGTGAGGCTAGCAACTCCACCCTGTAAACAAAGTTGCTGCAGAAACTTCAGCACGATGAGTCTCCTTGCGACAAAAGAAAAAAAGTTTGTGTGGGCACATGGAACGTCGGCACAATATACGAGCTGCTGCTGCGTGACCGCAGAGCCCAGGGGACAACTGCTTGAGGCCGGTCACACACGGCCTGTTTTTGTTTGTTGTTTTTCATTTGGTGTGTCTCAGTAGCGTATTTATCACTTCTGCCCTGTGACACGGCAGCAGAAAGCGCGGTCGTTGTTAATCCGGGCCCCGACCGATCCGGCATGATATTTTGTGAATTTGTTTGAATCATAGTATTGGATTGGGTAACTGCTTTTAGTCTAACCGCTATCCAAACAACCTTCCTGGCATGGTAGGACCTGCAGGGACATGAGTCCCAGCCAGTTTAGCTTGTTGGGTCACTACAATATACGAGACTGGCAAAGCTGCTCAGATTCTAAAATGTGACCAACTAATCATAAAATCAATGTACGTACCAGCGACTTTCTAAATTATTTTCTCTAATTTCAACTCTATGATTAAAAATAAACTGAATGTAACATGCAGTTCATTGTAGACTACTACATGACTGATTTTATCGATTATTTGTGTCACGTGATTACGAATGTTACATACTTAATTTATATTATGGAATGTGTTAAATGTTATATGCCATTGTCGATAATCTACGAAATCACGTCATCTCACAATAATAATTTGCTTTAATGAGTGTTTCATACAGACATATCAGAGATACAAACCTTTTTTAAATTTAGGTTGTCAGACCACTTTGTGTTGGTTTTGACGACTGTGTCGTTTGTTTTTGAGATTTTTTGAGTTTTGCTTTCTTATTGTACAATAGTGAAGTGTGATTACTTAAAGCAATAAGCTATGGTTACTCTAGTTTGATACAGCTTAGGATAGGTAGACTGTAATAATAATAATAATAATAATAATAATAATAATAATAATAGTAATAATAATAATAATAGTAATAATAATGATAATAATAATAATAATAATAGTTAGAGAACTTCATGCAATTCTTCCCATTAATAAACTTGAACAAAGCAAGAACAACAATTGTACCAGGATAATATGAGCTCATCTTTTATTATTATTTCGAGGATTCTTCTCAACTGGTTACAACCTGAACGATGAAAAATATGAATTACATTACATTAAAGATTTGAACATAATTTTTCACGATCACAAGGAGTAATTGGTAGGAAATAAAAGTAGCATTAGTCCGGAATGATTTAACTAATTAAGAGTTACAAACACTGACTATTTATAGAATAATTCAAATGAACTGTGATCAATATTTGACAGTTTATAAATATTTATAGAATAATTAGGCAATTAGGCTTGGAAACAAAAACAAGCTGTTGTATATATATATATATATATATATATATATTTGTCACCAAGGCAGTGCAAGATTCACCACTGTCTCTTTCTGCGTACATAGATTTGGTTTCAGTCGTCTGATAGCAATTGCTTCAGCAAAGCGTAGCATGTTAGGTTTCTTTTGCTTGTTGATTATTTTGAATGACTTCAAGTTGTCTACATTATGACCAGTGTCTAATAGATGACGCGCAATTGCACTGTTTAATACTTGTGGACCTTTCAGTCTCAGGTTCTTTAGTATGTGTTCAGGAATGCGGACAATAACCCTTCTCTCTGTCCTTCCGATGTAGGTGCTTTGGCACGTACATGTAAATTGGTAGACACAGTTGGAGTACTGCCAGACAGCTGTTTCATCAGCCTAGTTTGGTGGTCATCGGCGGTACGCACCCACTGGGGTTCGAACCCAGCACCTTCCAGTCACAAGGTAGCATCTAATTTTATTGAATAATATTAAAAGCAATTATAAAGATAATATGACCGGATTGTTAATGGCAGTTCTTATATGGTATTTGTAATGACAGTGAAGTCGTATATATACACAAAACGAAATTGTAAATAATAATAATAATGTTAGTAGCTGAGCCAAATGTGGTGTCGTTGAGTTCCTATACTTGATACTACGAGCATATAATCTTTTGTACTGACTCCCGCTCCTACCAGATGAGATACAATGGGGGAGAGTTGAGAATAGAGAGGGGCGATGAGTGTCAGAAAATATAGATTTAGACCATTTCTTGAGTGAGTTTAGATGTCTATCAACTGATGTAGTGACGAGCTGACTAAGCTGCACTTGTCCGACTGACAACCTTTAACACCCCTCTCAAAATGACATAGTCCTTTTTCACTAACCCAGGACAGACTACGGGGGAAGAGTAAAATACAATGGGTGAAATACACGAGTTAACAGATTGTAGAAGCAGAGGTTGAGTGATTCGGGGATAGTTTGAGCTTCTTAATGCAGTAGCTTAGACGGAACATCATTTTACAAATCGACAAAATATGGAACGACCAAGTGAGGTCAGGGAATAGAACCATGCCAAGGTATTTTGTGTTCAACCTAGTTTCTATTATGGTCCCCTCTATACTACAAGCATCGTGTGTACTAACCAGTCGTTGTAGATCACTTTTATGTCTAAAGGGAGAAGTCAATAGTCTGGCATTTTGAGGGATTTAACATAAGACCATTTAGCTTAGACCACTAACTGATGTCCGACAGAAAGCTATTAAGTTCGCAACACTCTGATTGGGACTTAACAGGAAGCTAGACGGTAAGATCATCAGCGTATTTGGCGAAGTTGATTTCATTAGGAACAGTTAAGTCATATAAGAAGAAAGAAAAAAGTAAAAAGGAGAGATAACAGCACCCTTAGGAACACCAGCTTTAGTAAGCAAGGCCGAAGAAAGTTCACTCTTATATGCAGTTTACTGCATTCTGTTAGAGAAATAAAAAAAAACAGTCACTTAGCAGCCCAGGGCGCAGTTTGTGTAAAGAAAAGCTTATTTAGCAAAATCC